AGAGGTTATTGATTCACCAACACTACCTGTATGGCAAATTTTTTCGAGTTCTCCGCTTCCCGTCTTGTCCTGGCCATAACATTTTCCATTTCTGCAAGAGTCCGAACAACTTTATCCTTCATTTCTTCAATTTCCTTTTGCTTGGCATTCAGGAGTTCTTCTTTTTCCTCCACAAGTTTCACCATATCAGCCATTTGTAGGTCACCATCGCCCTCGGAATCTGAATCTGAAAATGCAGTTTGTTTAGAGGCTCTCATCCTTTTATGAGATTGAGGCATTGTATTTAGGGTTTCTCAGTTAAAACCTGATTCTTTAGTAACTTGAGCCTCTCCAGGATTCGCATCCCCACTTGGCTTCGCAGGATCTTCAGCATTATTCTCTACAGTACTCCCATGTTCCTTTCCGGATGGCTCAGAGGAGGCCGATGAAGAGATCCCAAATCGTCGAAATGCGGACAAATTGAGGTTTGAATACTGCAGCTTAAATACATCATTTGTAATCACCTGCACAGAGGAAGTGCATGCGATTTTTATGAACTTGGTTATGTTTTCTAGGAATCAAAATATGAGTTTAAGATCGAAATTTCAGCATAACCATTCAATTACTAACTAAAAAATGAACCTTAAAACCAAACAAGACCCAGATCAAATGAATATGTAAACTGAAATCGCAGCTTTTAAATCATTAATGTAATGACCACATTAAGGCAATAAATAAAAAGTTAAAAAAAGGATCAAATGAATATGAAACAAGTAGATCAAATCTAAAGACTACAAAAAATGAACCCACTTCCATTTAAATTTAAGTCAATTTAACTTCGAACCAAAAAAACTTAAATAACTCCAACATGGTGAAGAAATATAAGGAGAAAAGAATGAGCAAATGAAAGAAACCATCAAAATTGAGCCAATTTAAACATAATCGTTAAACCCTATCAAAACCCTCTCAAAATTAACCAAAAAACCAAAGGTTCTATTGATTTGCTTAATATATTGAAAATATTTTTGTACCTTCGGTGATTCACAGACGAGGGAGTGAAACTGAGGGGAAAAGCTTGGCGTTTGAACGCTCTTGGGAGCAGACAGAAGCAAGGAGCGTGCACCGACGCTCCTTGAGACGCGTGACAAAGCCCTGGATATCAACATCTCTGAAGAAGTGGAAGGGAGGGAGGGAGGAAGAAGGTTTAGGGTTTTAGATGGTCAAAAAGGAGAAATTGAAGATATATATTATTGGGGTTTTTTTCTAGAAGAAAAAAATATTAAGGACGGGGGAAATTTTTAGAGCGAAAGGATGTGCGTTCAGGGAGAAAACAAAACAAAATTTTTTATTTAGGGTAAACTATGCGGATAGTGTTATGTTTAGGGTTTTATTGATTTTAATCATCAATTTAAAAATTAAATATAAATAATCTTTAATATTATCGATCTGTTTCGTTAACCCTTTTGTTTAAGTCTCTAACATGGATGACGGAATAAAATCGAACGAGAGTTAACGGCTGAGGGACTAAAATCGAACATGTCGATAATATTAGGGATCATTCCCCCTTAATTTTTAAATTAGTGACCAAATTCGGTTCGACTGAAAATATATTGGATTAACTGCATAGTTTACCCTTTTATTTATTGGTTGACAAATCTATCCTCTCGAGACGACATCGTTTTATTAGATGGACCGGTGAATTTGAACATTTCTTGAGGGTATTATTATTTTGGTCGTAATTTGACGTTATTATTGTTTTTCTTTTGATAAATTTATAATGAATACAAGATAGTATCTCAATCACTAATTTACAGAACGATTTATAGTGGTTCAACTTTCTCAATGAAGTCTACATCCATTATCTAAGCTACTCACTTAGGATTTTCCAACAAATCACTAATTTATTCTTTCTTTTTCAATGATCAAGAGTAACATTTATATCTCCATAGTTTTTTTACTTGGCTAAACTAGAACCGAAATCCCTTTACAAAAATAAAAAATGTGTAAACAAGAATCTCTCTCAAGATTGATGTTTACAAAGATTTAGCCCCCAAAAACAAAACATAAGTTATATAATTGAGCTCAAAACATAAATATTTACAAGAGAAAGAAAATTAGGATTGAATTTTTTTTCTCTTGTGTTTGAGTGCTTGATAGGTGTTGGAAACCTTATTCAAGTGTTTTGAACTTTTTTTATATGTTGGAATGAGTTACTAATCGTTTATAGCCATTGGGATCAAAATAGTCGTCATCTGCAACTTTTAAGGCAAAAGGGATCGATCCTTTTATCAAAGGGATCCATCCTTTTTAAAAAATTTCGACTGTTATACCAAAGGGATAAATCCTTTTTGGGAAGGGATCGATCTATTTCCTCGAGGGATCGATCCTTTTGTCAAAAAATCGATCTCAAACTCATTGTTGTCCAAGGGATCGATCTTTTGGTCAAAGGGATCAATCCTTTTGCTAAGGGATCGATCTTTTGAGCCAGAAAAGTTTGGAAACATTACTTTAAAACACAAAAAATTTGATTATGTTTTGAAAAGGTTTGAATAAGTTTGAAAAACATTTAAAAACATAAGTTTGAGAAACTCATTCTATGTCTCAAGATAGGCTTAATGGACTAGCTATGATGGCAATCGAGAATGAGGTGCTAGATAAAATCGCTTGTGAAAATTTGATCGATGAATTTGTTTCAAGTAATGCTTTGAGTACAAGATTATTCAAGTGACTAATATGTAATTTTTAATTTTGGTGAACTTATTATTATATAAAATCTCAGCACATTGTTTTTTTATCATTTAATTTTTAAATTAATTACTTACGTATCCATTGCTTAGCGGTCCCTTTTTTAATTTTCGTTCCGGGCTCGATAATGACCGAGACGGCCCTGTGGGAGGTGGCTGTTAATCATGTCTCTCGGGAGAGGAATAGCGTGACTGATGCGATGGCTAAGGTCTCATTGCTTCGAGCAACCGTCCGGTGAAGTTGTTGCGTTGGTGGATGATGATAGAAGGGGTGCTTGTGCCTCTAACCACTGAACTTTTCTTTTGTACTCAAAAAATAACATTAGTGTTAAATTTGATAAAATTAAAAATTTAATGATAAAAACAGGTCTACACTCAAAGTTAAGTGATATCTTAAATAGTTTTTCCTATATTTTAATAAACTCTTAACTTGTATTTATTAATTTCAATTATTCATCAAGCAAAATATTATCATTTTCTTTCTTCCTTTCAACCTTCTTTTCATTTTCTTTCCTTTATTATCATTTTCTTTCTTCCTTTCAACCTTCTTTTCATTTTCTTTCAAGAACTCTGATTTTTGGACTATGGAGGCTAGGATCAATACAAGCTGGAGCTTTCGTAAACTGCTCAGTATGAGGAATAAAGCTGCCCCATTTTTGCTTCTGAAACTCATTCAATCAAAGACATATGGCATCACATCCGTAACAAAGATGACAAGGTTACTTGGCATAAACTATTCTGGTTTCCTCTTCATGTCCCTAAGTATAGTATTATTACTTGGATGGCTTTCCTTGACAGATTACCAACCAAAAATAGGCTGATTCGAATGGGGTTAAACATTGACGGTATTTGTGTGCTTTGTAGTGAAGAGATGGAAACTAGGGACCACTTGTTTCTTCATTGTTCTGTGGCAAAATCTGTTTGGAACTCTGTTCTGCATCTTAATGGCATTTGCAGAGGAACTTGTTCATGGAATGCTCACATTTCATGGGCTTGTGCTTCATGGAAAGGAAAATCACTACTCACTACTATTATGAAGCTAGCTTGGACTACTTTTACTTACATTATTTGGGAGGAGAGAAACAAGAGAATTTACCAATGACGCTCAAGAAATGTTAATGCCTTACTCCTTGCTATAAAAGACACTGTTGCTATTCAACTTAAGGGTAGAGAAATAAATAGAAATGACTATGTCAATAATACTCTTTGTAATCAATGGGGTATTGAACATTGATGTTTTCAGTTCTGTTGTATAGTGTTGTAAGTGTTGATTTTTATGTAAGAACTTTCAGTGTTTTGAAGCAGTTTTACTGCTCTTTTGGATATAAAATTGAATTGATTTATCCAAAAAAAAAAAACTTTAAAAGTCTAAAGAAAACCGAGACGGAAGGCATAATTAAACTTTAGGATAAATTGTACCTTTAGTATCTAAGTTATCAGTTTTTATTCATTTTAGCACATAATTTTTTAATTTTTTCAAAACCATACCTAGTGTTTAAATTTTTGTTTCATTTTAGTACCCATTCAAATTTAATTGAAAAAAAACTTAAAAAATTCAAGTACTAAAATGGATCAATATTGATAGTTTAGGTACTAACCACATTAATTTTTAACAGACGAATATTAAAATAAGATAAAAAATAAACATTAGATATGATTTTGAAAAAATTAAAAGCTTAAGTACTTAAAATATATCAAACTAATAGCTTACGTACTAAATATATAGTTTACTCTAAACTTTAATGGTATAAATACGTTCAAATCCTAATATAATTAGTCCTTTCATCACCCCAGATATTTGTAGATTTTTCTTTTAGCCAGTTTTAATAGAATTGTAGCCCAAATTAAGGTCCATGTGAGCATGGTCCATAAATAAATAGAGGGTTATTTAATCCATAGTTCAAATCTTATTTGTTACATTTTTATATTTTTAAATTAATCATTAATGTATTGATTTATTGACCAACTAATCCAGATCGAGTATTACAAAAAAAAAAGGACGACCAATTCAACTTAATTTACTATATTTGTAAACGTCATATTCCAAATCCTTAATCTCACTTTATATAATCTAATACCTCGTCCTAAATTTTTATTTTTTAAATTATTAATTGAAGATACCAGTACCGGTATAAAATAATAATCAATTTATAACCATATAAATATGAAAATAATAATAATAATAATAATAAATACAAACTATAAACAATATAGTAAAATCAACAGGCAACAACTCCACCTAAAGAAGAAGAAAAAGATGCTAAAATTCAGCAATTCCCCCATATCAGTGCCCTCCGGTTGGAAACTCACAGTTCCCATACGCGGGGCGTTGCGAGACAACATAAGCCGCACCGCCGAACTCGCACGTACCAGCGGCGCGCGTCTTCTTCTGATAATAATTGTTGAACGCATACGAGGCGTGCGCTTCGAGCGAGTTCGGATTATAACACGCCGCGCCAGGTTGAATCGCGTTACAATCGGCCCCTCCCTCGCCGCACGCGTAATCCAACGCGTCTTGCAGCTTCTTCTCATCGGCTTTCCCATTCGCAACGCACCACGTCTGCCCTGCTTGTGTCTTCGACACTTCTCCGGTCACTGGAACCTTATTCGCGTTCGTGTTGACCGGCGTTGACTGCCCTCCTTTTAGCTCCTCTTGTGTTAAAGGTATGCTGTATACCTTTTGTTCGTTAGGGTAAAATAAGCCGTAATTCCTTTCCGAGGTTGGACCGGGTTTTTGGTTCTCGTTGAACAAGGCAAATAAGTAAACGTTGAGTGGGTCCCGAGGTCTCAAAGGGGTCCCACTTCCACTCAAAACTTTCTTTACCAAGTTCCCATTATACGACGCCGCATTGATTTCACTTGCACCGATCTCATTCTCGTCCCCCATCGAAGGCCACCCAGTTTCGGTCACTACCACCTTTACGTCGTCGTATTTGATAGCCGACATGGCAGCGAAAACAGCGTCGATTTGAGCTTCGAAGAGGCTGTGGTATTTCAACCCGTTACCCGAATCCACCACACCCGGGTTGTCCTTAAACAAGGCGTAATCGAGTGAGATTTGATACGAGTTCGCGGAGTAAGCGAAAAACGGGTACGCATTCACCATGAGGTAAGACCCGGTTTCTTTCAAGAAATCCAACATGGGCTTAATCACCGGCTCGACCAGTTCCTGCTTGAACGAACCGGCCGATGAAGGGTAAGAGTTTTGCAGCGCGCTGAAAGCTATCGGGGAAGATATTTTAATGGCGGAATCCAGCTTGGATTTCACGAGCGAGGCGTGGATGTTTTTCATGGCGGGTACGAGGTACTCCGTCGTGTTTTTCGGGTCTACGAAGACTTCATTCCCGACGGCTATGGCTTCGATCTTTGTCCGAGGGTAGAACTTGGCTATGTTGGATTGAACCCACCTGTCGGCGGCGGACTGGTCCGCGGCGGTCGCGGCGAGGAGTTCGTTGGGGAGAGCGACGACGACGCTGATTCCGGAGTCCGCCAACGCCGTCAGAACGGCGGCGCTGATGTCGTAAAGCTTCACCTTGTTTATTCCCTGTGACTTCAACAGTCCAACGACTTTTTCCGGCGATGGCAGGTTGTCGGCGACACGACCATAGTTAATCCCGACCGAACCAGCAGCATCTGCAATAACAAACACACACACACACACTTCAGCTTTCCATGCTTGAAGTCGATACATCAAAAACAAAAAAAATGGTTTCATTTTGAAGCTCATACCCGAGGCAACAATAGCGGACAAGACAACAATGGATGAAACTAGAAGATAGAAAGCTCGGTATGCCATGGCCGGAGCTTTGAAGAAAAGAAGAAGAGTAAAAGAAATGAAATGGTTAATGATTATTGAAGAAATGAAGTGATTTTAACGTTGATTTAAAGGGAAGAGTGGGGTTAGTGGGGAAATCCAACTAATGGGATTGAAAATCACAATGGCAGCCACCAACTCGACCGTTTTTTCTGACAGGCAATGTTTTTTAAGAGTCATACGTAAATTAATCCTTAAACTTTTTAAATATTTTAATTTTATTTTAAATTATATGTATATATTAATAAGGTATTTTTTTTCGAAAAATTATTAGTGACCGATATATTTATCGATCTAACATCGGTCAGATTATATTTCTCGATCTAACACTCGTAGTTGTAAAGCACGCTCCCTGCCCCGCGCTATATGCTGATTTGGCGCCACGTGGGGTATAACGCGCCCTATGTACCGAGCTATACGCTGACATGGCTTACACGTGGGTATAGCGCGCCCCCTGATCCGCGCTATAACTGTTTATCTGACACGTGGGGTATAGCGCGGTATAAGGGACGCGCTATACCTTTAATTACCCTCCAATCCTCCCTATAAATACCCTCATATTCTATTACTTTCATCACACTATATTCTCTTAAATTCTCTCTCTAATTCTCTCAAATTTATAACAAAATTTATAACGAAAATCGCACGAACTTCTAAATCAAATATGAGAAAATTACCAGAATTATTACTCGTTGACGGAATTGTTGTATTAATTTATAAGTTGAGAGGAGAGATGTGAGAAACTTAACCGGGAGTGAAGGGTATTTATAACCATATAAGGCGCGGTACCTGCACCGCGCTATATGTAATTATTCAGATAAAAGGTAGTCCGCGCTAAATATAATTATGTCAGATACCCAGGTATAGCGCTGAGCAGGGGCGGCGCTATACCCTTACGTGCGTATAGCGCGGATCAGGGGGGCGTACTATACCCACGTGTAAGTCATGTCAGCATATAGCGCGATACAGGGGGCGCGCTATACCCCATGTGGCGCCAAATCAGCATATAGCACGGGGCAGAGCACGCGCTTTACTGCTACGGGTGTTAGATCGGGAAATATAATCTGACCAGTGTTAGATCGGTAAATATACCTGTCACTGGTGATTTTTCGGAAAATACACCTATTAATAACATCTCAAGTTAATAATATCATTAGGTCAATTTATACTGTTATATGTTTGGAAAAAATTAGGTTAAACTATGGTTGAAATGGATTATATATTTGGATGAATTTGGGGATGAAATTGGAAGATCTAAATGATTAGGGACCAATTTAGAATGAGATTCGTAGTTTTGGAATAAAATTAGAATATTCATAAGTTTAAGGATTAATTTAGAATGAGAGTCATACTTTTAGGATGGAATTGGAATGGTTAAATGTTTAAGGGCCAGCTTGAAATGAGGGTCATAGTTTAAGGACAAATGGTGTAATTAACTTTCTTTTTTAATTTGGTTAATAGAAAGGGTTAAAAAATTAACGGGAGAGAGATTAAAATCGAACAAATCAATAATCTTAAGAATTTTTTTTTCCTGAATTTTTAAATTATTGATCAAAATCGGTCGAACCGAAAACATAAAGAACTATCCGCATGGTTTATCCTATAGATTTAGATCTGGATAGTACATCTGTCCACACACGTGGTTTTTAACATTGATTCGGCCAATCCAACGGTTATTGGTAGATGTACTTTTTGTCTTTATGTGGATCGATAATACATTAACATTTTGCAGCAACCTATTATAATGTTGTCGTTGAAAGTGACATTCCCCCCGCCCCCCAATTCGAACGTTGCATTCACAGTTGATCGTTGTTTTTGTTTTATTATTGGATCAATTTTTGATAAATGATTCCGAAACATTCTTAAATGCTTAATTTAGATTATTATTCTTTTGGGAAATTAAATATTTTATTTGTTCACAATTGACAATTTTATGTATAACAAAAGGTACAGTCTGTTTCATTCTTAAATGAATTAATTTTTGGTGAGAAATATTTTAGAAATAAAAATTGAAATATAACCTTTTTTGAGAAATTCTGTTTCTATATTAACTTAATAATTTATATTGTTTATTGTGAGTCTAATGATTTTTATTTATTTAAAAAAATTTAAACTATTTAATAATGAACATTCAAGTACTTTTTATATATGTTAGTGATCAAATTTGAGACCTATGAAATAGTTTGATTCATGTTAACTTTTTATTTATTTTTTAGTGAAACCGCTCCCATAATAATAATAATAATAATAATAATAATAATAATAATAATATTATTATTATTATTATTATTATTATTATTATTATATATTCAAATAATTTAACACCTTAAAAGAATCTAGATATTTTTCTTCATAAAACTCTTTTTAACATCATGTATTCATGTGTTCAAACCACTCCCATAAATTTTCATGTTCATCTATTATTAATAGAATAACTATTTCATGTTCCATAAGTATCCCTATCTTATACTTTTTAAACCCCAATTGAAATAAAATGAAAACAAATAGAAATGAAATTATATTTTAATGATGTCTATTAGTATCGTCGTTGTTTTCAAGTATTAGTTCGACGACATAATGTTTCAAGTATTAACTCAATGATTTAATGTAAATGGAGAGTTGATCCACAAAATACAACTTAAAACTGTTTTGAGATCATATTTTATCATATCATAGTCAATAGATTGACGTTCAGGCGGTTCAGCTCAGGCAACCCCAATTTTTTAACGAAAAAAGAAAGAGTATGAAACATATAACAGTCGAGTGACCGTTTTATAACTTTTAATAGGCGAGGGACTTAACAAAGAAAGACCCTATAGTTGATGGACCATTTTATAACTTTTAATTGTAAGTGGATTAAAAAAAACAATGTCCTATTGCCAAACGATCATTTGTATGTTTTTCTCTAGGCTTTAAATAGGGTAAATTACACCGTTATTCACTGAACTATATTATCTCTCCTATTTTACTCACCTAGATTTCAATTTGCTCTCTATAATCATTTTGCTCATTCTCTCGTTTTCCCTCTAACGTCTGGATGACGTGGCATTTTTTAATATAAAATGATTACAAATATTAAATAAGAACAGAAGGTGGTTGGATGCCATCGTTAGACATCATCGACCATCGTATATGGTGATCGTTTGGTTCCAAATTTCATGGGTCGCTTCACCTTGACATCATGAGTCCAAATTCGACCTCCATTTTATCGGAAGTTGCTCTGAAGTCCCCAAATTTAAGGTTGAAAGTGAGGAAGTCAAAACATTTCAGTCGAGATTCATATGTTTTGGGACATTTTCTGGTGAAACAACCACCAGATTCAGACTCAGGGGGTCCAACCTATGAAATTTGGGACCAAACAGCCATCGTCAACGACGGTGGACGGTGGCCGAAATGAAAATGACATGATGACCGACAGAGAGAAAATGAAAAAGAGAATGAAAAAGGGTAAATTACACCATTCCTCCCTAAATTTTACTCTCTCTTCTATTTTACTCACAACACTTTCAATATAAGATTCAAAACAATGTCGTTTTGTTGAATATATTAGTTTTTCAAAATGACGTCGTTTTGATGCTTGTGCCACATCATATCGCTGTTAAATAGTTAACAATAGTGCGAGCAAAATGATTCAATTTGTAAAGTTCAATGAGCAAATTAAGTAAATTGAAAGTTAGGTGAGGAAAACAGGGGAGGGTGTACAGTTCAGTGAGGAACGGTATAATTTACCATTTTAAATATTAAAAAAATATTATTTATTAAAAAAACATATGATGTGGTTGCAATACCGATTAGAATTCCGAATGTGAAAGTGTTGATAAAGACTTGGGTTGGATAAGAAACGTAGAAAGAATACAAAGATTAGACAAGCGTGGATGTTATAATAATAAGGATTATTATTTAATGCCGTTGGGTTGTTTTTTTTAGGTTTAATATAAAATTAAGTGTTCAAATTATACTCAAAATTGATTTTGGTATTTAAAAAAATCGTTAAAAATAAGTGTTTAATGTTTTATTCATTATATTTTTATGTTTTTATCGTTAAAATATATTAGATGACACATGCTATGTTTAGATTTTTTTTATAAATATTTTATTTCTTAAAAATATAAATAAACATGATATGTGTGACTTAACAAATTTTTTTAACGGTAAACATCTAAAATTGTAACATAAAAAAAATAAACATCTATTTTTAACGAAAAAATTATTTAAACATCAAAAATTAATTTTAAATATAATTCGAACACTTTCTTTTATATTAAGCTTTTTTATATGACTTTAGGACTACAATCCTTTATGAAGAAAATAATTCCACCATCAATGCATTAGTTACGTAGGCAGGATAATCAGTGGTGAAACTTAGTGATAAAGTTTCGGGCGCGAACGTAAAATTTTGAAAATTTTAGAGGTTTAAATTAATTTTTTTTTGAAGATTTTAGTTCACACTTTTTTTCTAAAAGAATTAAGGTCTAACTGAAATTTTTGAAATTTTGATAGACTTAATTAGAAGTTGCTTAGGAGTTGGGAGCAATGGTTAAGTTGTTTGGTGAAATTAAAAAGAGCTTTAATTCATGTAAATGTAAAAAAAATCCTTTTATTAATAATTTTATGTATTAAACCTATGACTTGGTTCGAATTTATTTAAATACATTATTTTATTTTATTTATTATATTTCAATTATAAGAAAACGTATAACCAAGTATGTTTTAAAATTTTAAATATTGAATATATGTTTTTATTTAGTAAATATATTTTTCAATTTCCAAAAAGAAAATAAAAAAGAATGTTGAAATAATACCAAACACGTTAAAAAGACTTAGCATGGATGATGAATGTGGACAAAGATTGAGATTTTGGTTTGGTAGGAATGAGAAGGATAGACATTGGTGCTATTTCACATGTTGTTTCACACTTGTCGTTTACATTTGGTCCATGAGACCCATGTCTTACTAGGGATGGCAATGGGTCGGGTCGGGTCGGGTCGGGTTTTTGGGCCACCCGACCCGACCCGAGAAGAAAGGGGTCTTCACCCG